ATACTTGAAGATAGTCGTATCCAAATAATCTTGAACTCATGATAACATGTATAAATTAGTTGAACTTAATATGAAAGTGTTTATAAAAACACTAGATTGTTTAGGAAGACTTACAATATATTTTTAAGAAATAATTCTTGAAGGAATGGTTTTCCTAGAAAATGTTTAATGGGGTTCTTGAGGATGCTTGATGTTTCTGGGACTTGTTCTTGAAGATATGAAGGTGTTCTTGAGAAAGTTTGAAGATTTGAAGGTTGTTCTTATAAAGTTTGAGAGAAAATGACGGAACTTTGAAAGTGAATATAAGAAATGGTAAGGGGTTTTCGGTCCTATATATAGAAATGAGGTAAAGGTGAGGTGACATGTGCATTGGTTTGTGGATTATATCACATTGAGAGGAGGACCACCTTATCCAATTTGAGATTTCGGCCACTTTACCACCAAAATCAACCTTAGGCCACCGAAATCACATGTGATTTTGGTCCTAGGCATGATTTGGATCAAGCATGATTTTGGCCATGGAGAGATTTCGGCCTAAGCATGAGATTTCGGCCCTTTGCAACTGAAATCTATGCATTTCGATTCTCAAAATTGAATACCCTTAAAGTAGGGTATAATTCATTATTTTATTTTAACTATTTGACTTTTATTGGCACAATTGACTATTGTTTAATTTTCCTTGACTTTTTTTGACCCGAATTAACCGATTGTTACATTATCCCTAGATTGGAAGGAATTTCATCCCGAAATTATTTCTAAAGTGGATACTCATGAACTAGGAAAAAGATTTGGGCACTTTTGTTTCGTCTGGTATTCTCGTTCCCAAATGAATTCAGGTCCTCGCTTGGCATTCCAGTGGACATTCACTATTGGTATTCGGATTTGTTTCATTATCTTGATCTCCCAGCCCATGATTTCCACAGGTTCCTCTACAAAGTCTTACTCTCGTTTACCTCGATTTCATCGAGTCGGATTACAAGAGTCTTGTCGGACATACACTTCTTTAGATTGGACACATGGAACGTGGGGTGTATGTTGCTGAGTTTCTACGGTAGTTGTAGTTTGTAGGCCACTGAGCCGATTCTAGCAAGGATCTCGAATGGTCTGATGTACCTTGGACTTAGTTTTCCACGTTTCCAAAACAAATTATTCTCTTCCACGGTGAGACTTTTAACAGAACGCGGTCACAACCTAGAACTCCAAGGGTTTTCGTCGTTTATCCGCATACCTCTTTTGTCGGACCCTAGATGTTTTCAGTCGTTCCCGAATTTTTACGATCTTCTTTGTTGTTTCTCGTATGATCTCAAGGTCAGTGAGAGTCTTGTCAGGAACTTACCTGTTTGCTAGTTGTGTATCACCCACTTCAACCCAACACAAAGGTGATCTGTACTTGCAGCCATAAAGAGCTTCAAACGGAGCAACTTTGATACTAGTGTGATAAATATTGTTGTATGAGAATTCGACAAGTAGTAAATGGGTATCCTAAGCTTTACCAAAGTCTATCACATAATCTCTCAACATTTCTTTCAGCGTCTGTATTGTTCTCTCACTTTTTCCGTCAATCTAGGCATAGTACGTTGTACTCATGTCGAGTTTGGTTTCCAAGGACTTTTGTAGTGATTGCCAAAACTGTGAGGTAAATCTACTATCTCTGTCAGAGATAATGGATAGTGGCACACCATGTAATCATACAATCTATTTAATGTACGCCCTTGTAAGCTTCTCCACCTTGTTGGTTTCTTTTATTGGCAGGAAGTGCGCGAATTTGGTCAATTTGTCAACGATTACCCAAATGGTGTCAAGACCACCCTTTATCTTGGGAAACTTGGTTAGGAAATCCATGGTTATCCGCTCCCACTTCCATGCAGGTATATCTAGTTGTTGTAGTAAACCCAAACGTTTATGCTATTCTACCTTGACCATGGCGCAAGTCAGGCACTTTTCCACATAGATAGCGATTTTTGCCTTCAAGTTTGGCCACCAATAAAGTTTCTTGAGGTCCAGGTATATCTTGTCTGAACCGGGATGAACATAGTTTTTGGTCTTGTGAGCTGCATTCATAAAAACGTCTATGTATCCACCGAATCTCAGTATCCAGATTCGATCCATGGGGTAATGATCTCTGTCATCCTTGACTTCAAGGTTTTTATCCATTCCTTGCAAGGCTTCACCAGCGATGTTCTCCGGCTTCAAAGCTTCCAGTTACACATCCTTGATTTGTGCGGACAGGTGTTAATGGATGGTCATGGTTAATGACTTTACTCGGCGACCCGAGTACTCCTTTCGAATAAGGGCATCTGCTACTACATTGACCTTGCCTGAATGATAGTGAATCTCGCATTCATAATCATTTAGTAGTTCTACCCATTGTCGTCACCTCATGTTGAGCTCCTTTTGATAGAAGATGTACTATAGGCTCTTATGGTTCATGAAGATTGTACACTTCGTACCATAAAGGTAGTGCCTTTAGATCTTCAGAGCAAATACTACTGCTCCCAGTTCGAGGTCGTGGGTGGTGGATTTGACTTCATGATTCATGATTTGTCTCAAGGCATATGAAATGACCTTTCCTCGTTGCATAAGTACAGAGCGTAGCCCTTGCTTGGACGCATCATAGTAGACTACAATATCATTTATCCCTTCTGGGAGGGACAAGATCGGGGCATTGCTTAGGGCTCGCTTTAGTGTCTGGAATGCAATTTCTTTTTTCTCCTCCTAGTTGAAGGTTACACCCTTCTAAGTCAAGGTGGTGAGTGGCTTTGCGATCTTGGAGAAGTTTTGTATGAACCTCCTGTAGTAGTGAGCGAAGCCTAAAAATTGACAAATTTCGGTTAGTTTTCTAGGTGTCGTCCATTTCTCGATTGCTTTGATTTTGGAGGGGTCCATATTTATCCCTTCCTCACTGACCACGTACCCTAGAAAATCCACCTTTCGAATCCATAATTCACATTTCGGGAACTTCACATAAACCTTCTATGCTCTTAATGTTTCCATTACTTGTCGTAGGTGTTGACCGTGTTCTTCCTTACTTCGTGAGTAGATTAATATGTCATCGATGAATACTATCACAAATTTGTCTAAGTAAGGTAGACATACTCGGTTCATTTGGTCCATGAACACTACGAGTGCATTTGTTACGAAGGGCATTACTACGAATTCATAGTGACCGTAGCGAGTCCTAAATACGGTCTTGGGGATATCTTCCTCCTAGACTCGCAACTGATGGTACTCGGATCTTAAATCGATCTTTGAGAAGTAACTTGCTCCTTGTAGTTGGTCGAAGAGGTTTTTGATTCGAGGTAAAGGATATCAGTTTTTGATGGTGAGTTTACTTGGTTCCCGATAGTCTATGCACATGCAGAACGATCCATCCTTTTTCTTCACAAACAGGACGGATGCTCCCCAAGGAAAGAAGCTCTGTCTGATGAATCCTTTGCTTAGTAGTTCATTTAATTGACTAGATAATTCCAACAGTTTTTTCCGGTGCTAAACGGTACGGGGATTTGGCTACGGGGTGGCTCCAGGAAACAAGTCGATTCTAAACTCGAGTTGGCGTTTGGGAGGTACTCCTGGAATGTCATCAGGAAATATGTAAGGGACGTTACAGACTTCTGGAACATCTGTGATGTCTTTCACTTCTTGTTTCTCATCTACCAAGTGAGCTAAGAAGGTGGAGTATTCCTTGCGTAGATACTTTTGAGCCTTGATGCAAGAAATGATTTGAAGGTTCGTGCCAAGTTTGTCGCCATAAATGATGAGGGTTTCGCTACTAGGCATATTATGGCGAACAGATTTTTCGTAACATAAGATATTGGCATAGTGAGAGCTTAACCAATCCATGCTAATGATAACGTCAAAACTTTTTATTGTGATCGGCAACGTGTCGATTTGGAAAGAGTAGTTGTTTAAAGTGAGGGTACATCTTATGTATATATCGTTAGTGCTATCTACCTTTCCATTTGCCATTTCTACGGTGAATGTGTTACTTAGTGATTGGGGATTTTTTTGACGTAAGTGTTTAAACTTGTGGCTCACGAAACTTTTCTCCACACCACTATCGAAAAGTACGCATGCATAAGAATTATTGAGGAGGAACGTACCGGTCACCACGATAGGATTATTCACGAAGTCCTCACGCCCCATGGTTAAAACTCTTCCCACGCCTCCAACATTCCTTTCTTTTGGATAATCCCTCTTAAAATGCCCCATTTCACCACATCCGTAGCAAGCCTGGCTCACCCCAGTATTAGCGGCTTGAGTGGTTTGTTATGTCGGTGCCTTACAGAAGCGGGCAGTGTGCCCCTTCCTATTGTAATTATTACATTACAACTCTCGGCAAGCACCATGGTGATGGAAATTGCATTTATTGCATTTTGGGAGAGTTCCAGGTGGCTTGGCTGGTACTGGAGCGGTAGGAATAGTAGCAGCATGGACTACCACAGTTTGTTGTTTTTGAAGGGTTTTGAGCATTCTAACACTCATATGGTGTACATGCAACCCCAAATACCTTGGATCTATGTTTTCTCTATTATACAGGCAAACTTGAAGTTTCCAAGGGATTACCCAACTTGTATACAATCTTTGATACTTGGGTAATATAAACAAGTTATAAGAATTTAATTTGAATTTAATGTTTCATAATAGAAAATAAAATATCATATACAATAAATAGAATCCATTGCATAACTTTAATTTCATACAAATAATCATTCCATGGAAAGATAAAACAAATCAATAGAATTTGTAACAAAAATTTACAAACGAATTAGATACAAAAAAAATACAATCCATTGCCTCTTTGCTTATTCAAGATCAACCTAAAAGTAGCTAACTAATCTGTAAAAATTCACCCTTGTTTCTAATCATTTTCTAAAATACTTTACAAACATAATTCATCCATATTACATGAACTATAGTTGCAGCCTTGTTTCTTCTTCTTTTAAACTCATCTCTTGTAAACATTGCTCTAAGCTTAGTCTGAATAGATACAACAACTCCTTTCAATTATGTGAAAATACAATTGGAGAGTGGCCTGCCTTCATAATAGCAACAACTAACGAAGCAGGAATGAAAGAGAAGGCAATACTCACAACAATAGCTGCAGTGAATGCATCTAGGTCCTACAAGATCATACAAATCACTATTTAAATACACACTACATATAAAGGTGTCAATATTTTGATTGCATGTACTTAATATATAAAGACCTCAACAATAAATAGATATGTTATGTTACCTTGAGACACCTTTGAAGGGGATCCAAAAGATAATATGTAGTCTTATCAACTTGGATGAATCCCATTTTTTTAACAGATATTTCAAGAAGAATATGACTAACCAGATATCTAAACATGTAAGTGGGAATGCATTGAAAATGAGAAAAAACATGAACATCTATCATAACCTTGTAATGATGAGATATGAATAATGTTTGGTTAATGGGATTCATTAAAGACCACATGCTAAGTTCTATGTGATCAAGTACATGTATGTCAGCTACTACAACCTCGATTAATAATTTGTTTTAACCTCTCTTTGTAGTGTAAAGAATAAGAATATCATAATATGTATTCTTAGGTCCAACTACATAGTTAAGAGTAAATCAAATATGTTGTTGATTTGTATTATTAGAACATTGGAATGTTTAAATATTTTATCGAGTACATGTATGCCAGCTAGTATGCAAAAGCAGCAACATTAAGCCCCTAATCCTTGTCACATGTTTCGCTACTATAATATCAAATTATGCAAAAACATGTCCCTCAACTTTGAGGGAGCTAACATTTGACCAACAAAATTGAGGGATCTAATTATAGGATTTATAATTTTAATAAATTGGAAAATATTCAAATCTATAGATGATACCACATGTTCACAGATAATAAATTTGATACCTTGCTAATGTTATGAGAAGAGTAAAGTTGAAGTAGATGAATACAAAAGTCAATAACCATTGTAGTCTCATGAGGTTCTAAGTAGATGATTTGCCCCTCCACCTAGTCAACAACAAGATTAAGCAATAAATACACAACTTGATTTCTCCTTTACTGCATCCAAATCATAAAACTTGTCAAACAGACATACAAATTGATTTCTCAAGCTCGAAGCTACCCCTTTGGGGTAACTGTGTCATTTCTACAAAAAGATTACTTTTCAAACAAACCCTAGATGGCCCATGCAGACCACTACATAAGACCAGTGGGACCAACTTTGTTATGGCTTAGGGGCACTTTTGTTGTTTTAGGAATTCCAACAAGAATGATATTTAGTATTTACCTTCTGACACATAGATAAGTTCCTTTAAATGGTTGCAGTCTCTCAAATTAGCTTCTATTAGTTTTTCTACAACTGTCCCTTTCTAAAAGAACAAGCCATAAAGAACTTGAGAACATTTTGGTTAAATAAATTAGGCTAAGAAATGACAATTCTAACCTCTGGGTCATCAACGACTTTCCTCATGAGGCAAGCAACACGCTGGAATAAAAACATATATATATATATATATATATATATATATATATATATATATATATATATGTGTGTGTGTGTGTGTGTATATATATATATATATATATATATATATTAAAAGAGAATATTAGTTTTATATGGCAAACGCAAGAGAGATATCATATAACAAGAAACATAGCAACAACTATAAATGTAAACAAATTATTTGTTGCAACATGTATGAACTATGCAACTATTTTGTAATAGGAAAACTGGTTTCATACACAGTATGTTCCTATCCCAAGGGTAAAATAGGTTTTCTTTATTGCATCCTTTAAATCTTAACAAACCTGCAACTCTTTTAAGAGCACTCTTTCTCATATACCTCACTTGCATATTTCCAGTTGATCACCTTCCAGATGTTCTTTAAGTAATCGGGCCTGACATTTTTATACTGCAAATTGTACAATAACACATACATTAGTTGAAATGTGTACAATTTGTATACCGTACAAACATGAAATTTTTTTAATCACCTGTAAGTAGTATACATGCTCCCAAACATCTATGCCAAGCAGAGGAACCAAACTTGGACCTTTTGTAACAAGTGGATCCTACAACAGAGATTCATATTTCAATAATTTGAAATCTGAAGTTTAATAGGGATACTAATTTGTTTGAATAAAACTAGTGATAACTTACCTGGTTGATGTGGTTTCAACCACAAACCTCTTCAACTCTTTGTCAACAGCAAGCCACTGCCAAAATATATCATAAGTTTAAAATAACAAAAAAAAGTTGAAAGAAAAAACCAAAATGACAAAAATAAAGATTAAGGAACATACCACCCATCAAGAACCTTGCACAGCAGCGCCTTCTGCGTTCATTTTAGCAATCAATTTTTCCACAGAACTAAAGCTCTGGTTGATAGCCAAGCCCAAAGAACCATGTGGTGGCACGCCACCTCCTTCCTGCAATAAGGTTTTAGGGTTTCAATTTTGGTCAAATTATAGTGCTCGGAAGTTAGAGTTATCATCTAAATCAGAAGAAGAAGTCAAGAAACTAACATTGGTGGGAGCGAGATTCTTCCAGAAAATTGAGTGATTTACATGACCTGCTCAGAGACATAAGGGTAGATTAGATATTTGTGGTTGTATGAATATTATTATCCTCCTAGCATCAAATTTGTCCTAAATATGTTGTTCAGTTGTTTCACTTTAACCTATTTAGGACTTGAAGAGGAAGTTTCAGATGGAATGTAAGATACATAACGCTTCTAGCAAGTATTCAACCAAAAACACTGAAATCGACAAGATAGGAAATGATAGTGTTTAACCTCCGACATTAAACTTAATAGCAATATGCAATTTGACAGCAGTTGAAGCATCTCCCTTGGTGATAGCATCATCGAGCTGCTTGATAGCTTTATTGTAGTTTCTTATGCAAGTCTGGTGCTGTTTCTGGTGATGCAGTTGCATGATCTCTCCGCTAATCGCCAGCTCCAGTGCGCCATAATCGTAGGAAAGATCGGGAAGTGTGAACGTCTGCAATCCACGCACATGTTGTTGAAACTTGGATATCGCACCTAGGGTTTTAGCAATCGCGAGGGTTCGTAGAGCCATGTGTTCAGCAAATCAATTTGCGAAGAAATGGCGTAGCGACAATAGTGGAGTAATTTCTTGTGAATAAATACTTCTTTCCAGGCTGTAAATTCCAATCCCCTTTTTCAAAAATTTGCTCATATCCAGCAACTTTCAGTCGCCTCTTCGCTTCATCTACAAATCAACACAACAAACCAAACAAATCACAAATCAACAGCAAATATGCATTAGCAAACACAAAAACAAAAAAGTTGAAAATACAAATTAGGTTAAGAGGAGAGGTCGTCATTCCAAAAACAGATGGAGAAGAAGAGAATAATCTTCGCACCTGATTTAGGGAATAAAAGAATCTTTAGAGATTGAATGTAAGAGAAAGAAATATAGGGCATATACATGAAGAAGAAGAGAATAATCTTCGAACCTGATGCCTCCTCCGCTTTTGCTTTCCGTCTCTTGATGTTTCCGATCGTACCTTGAATATCTGACTTTCGATCCCAAATCTGACTTGCAACCATCGATTTCTGATCTTCATCCTCTAATTCGAGTCATATACTTTCGAATCTCATAAAATTTACCTTGCTACCTCTTGTTTTTAATGAAAGAGGAGACTCAAATCTGAGAGAAAAAATGAGGAGTCGATAATTAGGGCAAGAGGGAAAGAAGAAAAAAAGGAAGGCGGGGTTTTTACTCTTTTAGGATTTCATTTTCCCCCTGGTTATTAAAGGATGGAACCTGGGTTCAAATTAAATTTATAAAGTGACATCCTTAGACGACACGCATCTTATCATAGGTGTCCTCCGTGTTTCTTTTTGGACACTAATTTAGGGGCACGCAATAATGCGGGACCTAAATTCTTAAATTTTTTGAAGATATGACACTTTTTAATGTCACTCTCTTTTGCATAGCATAAATCAATGAGTGTCGTCGTTTGCGCATCATAAAAGGGTCTTTTTCTTGTAGTGAACCCAATTGAACCATGCCAAATCGGGTCTAGTACATACCAGTTATAGTTATGGTCTTAGACACTAATCCCACAGTTTCTTTGTGGGCTCTTTTGTCGACTGGCCCTTTCTCTAGTTCTAGAATTTCTTTTTGTTGTCTTGTGACATCCCCAAAATCAAGGCAAGAAATGACCGATTTAATTTATGATTTTAAAATAATTTTCAGAGTAATACTTTGATTTAAAAGAGTTGCGGAATTTGTTCCCAAAACAAAATATGATAAATAAAATTTATCAAATCATTCCTTAAAGAAATGTATTTTCATATATCACAAAACTCGGATGTCATGTTCCGATACAAACCAAAAGCATAAACAGCACATTATAAGCCTTACAACAGTTATATACAACTACTGACCTATAAACAAAATATCTTCACAAGTTGTCCCACTTATGCTCTCGCGCTACTACCTGTAATCCAAAGAAGCTGAGTGGGTCAGGCTTGGGAGCCTAGTGAGCATATAGGATTTTCAACCCATAATAAATAATTATATTTAATTTCACCAACCAACAATAACCCGATTACACATTCCCGTTAACCTCACTTTGCGTCCCTAAAACAACAACTGTCACAAGGGACCTAGCCTAGGATTTTTCATCGGGATGTACATTACTGCAAAGGGGTTTCCTCGACAATAGATTTCCTAAAGGAAACCATGAAGGGGATAGAGTACACCGGTGAGCACATCGTTCACAAAACCCATAGGTTATGAACCAGCCAGCATTCCACTACACTGTCTAGAAAGAGTCTGTGGTCGTCATCCATACTCTACTAGATTACTAGACCAACAACAACATCGAGGCATCTCATCATTTTATTTCATCACACATCAACTACCTACCCATGTTCTACCTAACATACTTGTAGATAAAAGTATATATATATATATATATATATATATATATATATATATATATATATATACAGTTTAAAACATGTATACAACATTCAATCAATACTCATTTCACTAACAAATAATATATAAACACATAGCACGTATTTTATGGAGAATGCTTTGTATTTATGTGTTAGAAGAAAGAAACTACACACTTACTCAAAACGCATACATAATACATTCAACAATACATGTATTTAATCATGTTTATGAAAGAGACTATGCACTCACTTGATAAGACGATGCTCGGATAGCACTACGACTCTAAAAGCAGTATTCTTCGGAGAGACTGTGATATCTTCACACACCAGGCTTCTCGCGGGCAGAGCCTTCGATCGAAACACTGTTCTTCTTGGAGTCTTTGGAGCTTCAGGACTGCTTCCGATTTCGGGATGATACCGGGGCTTCAGGAGTATAACTTGCATGTAAAACGAGGTAATATGGGTGAGAGGAAATAAATTGAGCAACAAAACTCGGCAGGCCTCGCTTTCAATTTATAGAGGCTGGAATTCTATGCTCACATCGTAATCCACTAATGCTCACGTCGTGAGCTCGATGTCATGGTGTTCGTCATCAGGCCACTTGACCTGGAAGACGTCCATCACCTGCTCACATCGTGAACACTGTGTTCACGTCCTGAGCTCTAACACAGGTGGAAGTTTGTGCCCCGAACTTTAGAAATTCATATATTTTGCATACGAGCTCCGTTTTAGATGTTCTTTACATGCATGCGTAGGTGATATTATGCTCTACAACTCTCGTTTAGACTCCGTCGGCTAATTTTGACTTTAACTTTAATTATATTGTTTTTAGTAGGCCGGGACAAGAAAACTCCGTTAGAAATTCATAACTTCTTCATCTGACGTCCGTTTTCTTCTGTCTTTTTACCATTGCATTACTATCGACGAGATCTTCCATTCTCGTTTAGATTGTTTCGGCTAGAAATCACTCAATCTCATATTTGAATTTTGGGTTGCATACTGCTAAGTCGAAACTTCGAAAAATCATAACTTCCCCATACGAAGTTAGATTTAGACGTTCTTTTTATGCACGCACTCGGTTTAACTTATACTATGACTTTTGTTTAGATCACTAAAGCTAAATATAACTCTATCGTAAATTCACTATTGACATCACACGGTGTCACACAGGTTCTGTCGCGAAACTTCGACAGGTCATAACTCCTTCGTTATAACTCGGATTTTGGCATTCTTTATAATTTCAGAATCCTCGTCACGACCACTACAGCTTCCTTCTCAGATATCGGGCATATCTAATATTTTATTATTATGCTTATTCTTATTCTTAATTCATTTAAGTTACACAATTAAGCATAAAACGCATAACAATCAAAATAATGCATTTTTATTATTTCACAACGGTTTACAAAGGTTACCAAGACTATTACATCATCATTAATGCCAAGCCTAGAAACATGGGTGTTACAATTCTCTCCTCCTTAGGATGATTACGTCCCCGGAATCAAACATCAACAAACAAATGTGGATAGCGACCCATCATGTCACTCTTCGTTTCCCAGGTGAGATTTTTCCCTTTTGCATGTTTCCATCGGACAAACACTAATCCGACCATCTTGTGTCACAACTTCTTAGTCTTTCGGTCAACGATTTCCTCTGGGTCTTCAATTAGCCTCTTTTTTTCATCTAAGAAGTTTTTCATACGATGGCTAACAGGTATAAACTTGCCACTAGCAACTTTAACTCCTAAAGCATTATCTAGTCTATCAATAGGCAAAGCTAGTTTTCTACTAATTCATGTGAGATAAAGGAGTAGTTGGCTCATGAATCAAATTAAATTTGGGCAGGCAATTCATTTATGAAAAAGATACCTGAAGTGACATCAACTTCATCTTTCGCAGCTTCAAGTGTCATCTGAAAGGCTCTCTCCTTCCGCTTTGGTGGAATATTGGGCTTTGCTGCCTCCTTCTTTTTCGGACATTCCCTCAAGATGTGACCCTCTTCACCACACCCATAGCATACTTTCTTGGTAAGGGTGAATTCATTGGTATAGTTCCATGGATTTCCACATTTGAAGCATGTGGCTTCCCCGCCACATTTCCCATGATGCTTCTTCTTGCGTTTGTTGCACCATTACGCTTCGCCTCCTCCACCTCCTCTCGAACTAGACTTCAAGAATTTACCCTTTTTACTGGACCCCAAGGGTCCGTCGAACTTCCTCTTCTCACCAACCTCTAACCTCTCCAGACCTTTCTCCCTGATCTGGGTCTCAACATTTCTAGCATCCCAGATGGAGATTTTCAATGTGTTTGCATGCTTAACCATTGGACCAAAGTCCGCTGGTAGTCTGAGGGCAACTTATTGACCTTAGAGAGTTCAGTTGGAACTAAATATGGAATAAGCTTCATCTTTTACATGAAACTAGCAGCGTATTCAGTAACGCTCATTTTTCCCTTCTTCAAATTCTGAAACTCATTATTAATTTCCAGAAGGTCCTGCTCGGAGCAGTATTGCAATTTGAGTTGCACCAAAAAGTATTCCCAAGACTTCTTGCTCGCTTATCCCTTGGGCATCGAGTCATCTAACAACTTCCACCAACTCAACACTCCAGATTTTAACAGAGGCATCACAAGAGCAGTCTTCTGTCTATTGCTAAATTCGGAACTCTCAAAAATTGTCTTTATTTTGGAGATCCAGTTTATAACTTCCATCGACATCGGGCTTCCAGATAGACATGGTGGCTTGGACGCCCTCAAATCCTAGTACTTGCACCCATGCCCTGCATTCCCTCCATCCTAGTTGATTTTCCCAACAATCGGTGGGTTGGCTTGACCAACAGTCCCACTGAAGTTTCCTCCTTCCGAAAGGCCTTCATTCAATTCGAGTTGTTTAATTAGAATTGAAGGTTCTTCACGATTCTGCTGAAGCAGACATCTAGTTTATTCCATTTGACGATCCAACATCATTTGGATCATCGATTGTACCCCATCCATTGCCATTGGCTCGGGTGTTGTTGCTACAATAGGTACTCGCTCAATCACAGGTGGTTGATTCCTGTTTTCATCTACGTTCCCAAAGCCACTTCTGTTTTTTACTATTCTGATCTATACACCAAATAAGGTGAAATTAGATCCTCATTCATGATAGATAATTAAATCGTCCATATCACTCAAAAACTTTTACATGCTAGTTCTAATATCGTCGTCATACGCTTAGAATCCTAAACACATACAGTTCCTAGATCCGGTTGGCAACAAATCGTAGATCTGAACAAATAATATCATATATGGCAAACATATAACATTTAGC